AAGGATTCCCACTAGGACTGGCACAAAGCCAAGAGAACGATCATAGTCATTAGTACCAGCTATGTTACGCCCATGAGCTCGGCTGTGTTTAGGATCAGTGATGGGTCAAGCCCGAATAGTAGGATCAGAGCTGTTAGTGCAGCAATGATGTAACTGTGTGTGCTAGTTACAACTGCACCGAACTCGCTGTCACCTGGAGTGTAGCTAGCAGGCTGGTCGAAGTATAGAACTCGTACGACACGTAGTAGTATACAGCTAGACAACACTAGCAGGATAGCTACAATGGCTACGAGTTGTGTCCACTGTGTATAGCGCTAGTTAGCACTAGGTACTTACCGAAGAATCCTACTATGGTGGATACCAGCCATAGAGATAGACATACCGATTAGTGCCAGAGCAAGAGCAGGGTTTCGGTGGAATTGACCACCTATCTCGCTGATTCGCTCGATGTCAGCCTTACCTGTTCAGTTGCAGGAGATGCACTCTTGCTGTACAGCAGTATCCGAACGCAAGCAGGATACAGAATGATTTAGGCTCGTTAGTGTACTGAACTAGGTAGAATAGGAACGCAGTAATGACTCGCTACCGCTAATGGCTAGCGCTAGGAGCATGAATCCTACGTGTGAGATAGTACTGTCCGAATAGTCGTTTGATTCGCGTCTGAGCTAGTCCAACAACTGTACCGTATAGCAGTGACAGTGTTGATGATCTAGGATCAGAGCGTCATACTTCAGCGTAGTCTCTCCTACTGTTAGTACTACACCCTCAGTCACGCTGTTAGTGATAGCATTAGCACAAGAGATCTTTTAGGCATCACAGCAAGTCATGAGGTGTACAATTGTAGGTACTCCGTCGTAGACGTCAGGAGCTCAGTTGTGGAACGGAGCAGCTGATACCTTGAACAGGAATCCAATTGTTAGTGTCACAGACCTAGGATATACTCCGAAGGCAGCGTCTGTTCCTTGAGCAACAGATAGTCTGAGCGATAGCGTCCAGGTTTGTAAGACCAGAGTAGCGTACACTAGGCTAGACCCGAGTAGGATCAGTGCAGATGAAGTGCTCCCGTAGGAACTACTTCAGTCCAGCAGCTGTACCTGACTCGCTGTGTCGGTAGATCGTAGCTAGAACGTAAGCAGCAAAGCTTTGTAGCTCGATAGCTAGGAACAGTGACACAAGGTCAGCACTTGAGATCAGGAATGAAGCACCGATCGTAGTGAATAGGATGATGATGCAGTACTCAGCACTGCAGGGTACAGTGTTGAGCCAGACGGCAGAGCGTAGGCTGCTGAGTCAGCATTGATTTGAGCGTTGCTAGGAGTCAGGACCGAACTTGGCAGTGCGAAGTACGAGCTTGGAGCTCCAACAAGGCGTGACGCTCATGTGAGAAGAATCAGCCCACCAACGACGTAAAGGAATACCTCCATCGTTAGAGAAACTGTGCTAACTTGGACAGTCCACTGTAAACTCCAACCCCTGAGCCTAGCACGGCAGTGTAGTTAGCACTGAGCGATAGAGCAGCAGCAAGGAAGAGTGTTAGAGAGGCCACCCGGGTCAGCTGCACGGATGGAATTGTTGATGAATAAAGCGGTACCGCCACAATCAGAGTTAGAAGTGCAATAAGAAGCATTACGTGACCATCAAGTTGCAGTGTACAGACACATAGCTGCTGATATAGCGCTATGCGAGTGAGAATAGGTTAGGCACACTAGGTCTAGAGCCTAATCCAGAGCCCACGATTTACACGTTACTTATAGAAGTCCAAATTCTAAGTAAGGACGATGCTGACTCAAGTTAGTAGTTACTCACTACTTTACTTATAGGAGTGAGTACTTTACTTATAGGAGTCATTGCTTAACTGCTCTATAGTAGAGCCACCTAGGTGATCACCTCGAACTAGGCTAGGCGTTCTCGGCTTACACTGGACAAGATAGGAATCGAACCTACAGTACATCTGATGCACACTGGTTAGAAGTCAGCTTACCCTGCCAATAGGCGGCTCGTCCATAGTCGGATGATAGTTAGTTGCTTTGTAGTTGGACGGACGAGATAGGTTCGAACCTACAGTGCACGTGAAGTACACACTGGATAGCAACCAGCTTACCTTTGCCAACAGGAGACTCGTCCCATACTCGCACAGCTCCGAATAGGGCATGTAGCCCTAAACTGATCTAGGTGTGTGGGGGTATCGAACCCTCGACATTTGAGTTAAAAGCTCAACGCTCTACCACTGAGCTAAACACCCGTAAGGTCTGTGATAGACATACCACTAGGCGACTAGTTAAGCAGCGATGTGTCCGGTATGAACACAACAGTAGGCAACTGGATTGGCTTGAATCGAACAAGCATCATGGACCTCCAAAAAATCCCGTCATGCCATTAGACCACATCCAAAGAGCTATACACTAGATAGCCACGAGACCTACCAAACCTGGGATCGCACCAAGGATTGCTACTTACAAGGTACCGTGTTCCTACTACACTATTCTGGCGTAAGTCTGTGACTCAGCTATCCTGAGTCATTGACAATGTAGGCTAAGCTGAGCGGGACTCGAACCCGCAATGAACGCTGTGAAAGTAGCGCTATCCTACCCTTGAATGATCAGCTCCCTGAGTTTGGTTTGTGTGGGCGTAGGTAGGTTATGCCAAGCTTTTAGCCAACACTATAGTCATGCGGATCTAGGAGTCGAACCCAGGACTGCTAATCATGAGTCAGCGATGATACCGTTTACCAATCCGCGTATTGTAGCTAGGCTGTATGTTCGATGCGTTACCGTCTCCTTATAGTGGATCTGTTCGTCTCTAGCTAAGGTAGCTAGATTCCTTATAACAATTTAAGCATGAGCAAACAGTCGGATCCAGTGTCGGTCACATTGGCCTTGATTATGGAAAGGCCTATAGACTACAACCTAGCTTGAAAGGGGGACAATAAAGCTAGTTAGCTGTGCGCCAGTACTTAGGCTCCTCATCAGTAGATTGACACGTAAAGGAATAGTCAAACAACGTCAACGAAGTGTCAGTATAGGATTGATGCCTCGAATCCTAGGTGGTGGTGGTCTGTCAGGTGGGTATGACAGGATCCGGAAGAAGGCTACGGCGATGAAGGCTGTACCAATCATAACGTGAATTCCGTGGAATCCTGTAGCGAAGAAGAATGTTGAACCGTATGCTCCGTCACTTAGAGTTGAATGGTGCCATCGTAGTACTCGAATCCTTGCAGAGCTGTAAAGATCATAGCAAGCACTACTGTTACGATAATTCCTAGTAGAGTACCTCGTCGGTTACCCCTCGATCAGTGAGTGGTGAGCGTATGTAACACTAGCACCAGATGATAGTAGTAGGATTGTGTTCAGTAGCGGGATCCTCGAATGGGTTCAGTGGGTCGATACCGGCAGGAGGTCAGTGTGTACCAAGCTCAACTGTAGGAGCTAGGGCTGAGTGGAAGTAGGCTCAGAAGATCGAGATGAAGAAGAAGATCTCACTTACGATGAACAGGGCTACACCCATGTTCAGTCCTTCTGTACGGGCGAAGGGTGTGGTTTCCAAGCAGTGTACCTTCAGCAACTACGTCCCGGAATCATAGGATCATAGCGCTAACTGTTGATACAAAACCAAGAGCTAGTAGAGTTCCACCGTTGGCGAAACCGTTAAAGTACATAGCTGCAGCGATAGTTAGGATCAGCAGCGCGAATGAAGTAAGAAGTGGTCATGGAGACGGAGTTACCAGATGGAATGGGTGTGCCTGGAACTGTGATCGTGGAGTTAGTTGCATCTCAGATGAGTGCATAGTCAGACACTGCTAGTAAAATAGCAGTAGGTGGATCAGAGTGACATATAGCCGCTCAACATGCCCTGAGGCTATGCGCAATTGCGCCGGATAGAATAGGATTCGAACCTATGGTGCTCGCGCACGCCCACATTCAAAATGGGTACAATCGACCACTCTGTCATCTATCCTTAGTTGCTGTATTCATGCGATTCTAATCCGCAAGGGTCTTCTATAAGAGGCACTTATTCTAGCTGTTGACCGAATTGAACCCAAACCTGTACATTTGGGTACTAGTAAAACTAGTGCTATAGGCGAGCATGCTGGAATTGGGTATACAGGTGGTTCTTAAGCAGCCATGGCGATATGCCATATGGGTTCGAAACCCATTGCTCGTAACTAACAAGAGGAGCTTGATAGGTAGACCCTCAAGCTATGCAGGGGCAGCACGAATCGAACATGCGTAAGCGAATTTGAAGTTCGCGATTCTAACCACTGAACTATACCCCTGTGATGCTTTAGGTAGCTATATGACTTAAGCCACGAAGTGCTAATAGCCTAGTAGCGAGTCTGTTGTAGCTCGCTTAGGGCCAAGAGGGAATCGAACCCTAAGGGAACAGATTTGCAGTCCGTTTACAGTACCGTACTGTAGCCTCAGCCCACAGAACTAGCTTATCTAAGCACATAGCGGAATCCCAAGGGGGGTACGAATGTGGTTAGACTAAACTGACCATTATTTCGCAGAAGGAGTAGCGTTAGCCGGAGTCATACATAGTACGATTGGTCCAACCATAGCTAGTAGGAAGATTACACCGGCAACCATTAGTCATAGTGCTGAGTATGTGTAAAGTCCTTGACCGATACTCTCGATCTGTGTGAACTCAAGCAGTGTACTGTCTGACAGTGCTGCACTGAATCCGCTGTGAACGTCAGAAGTCACACCACCAGCGCTAACAGCTCCTAGGGCTGCTCCGTTAAGTGCGTCGAAGAAGCTAATTGCACCGCTCAGTGATCCACCTTCGTGGTAGCTGGCAGGCATGATAGCTAGTAGCTCAAACAGGAACAGTGATCCTAGCATAGCACCTATAGGTAGGTTTTTAGTGTAGGCCTGACCAGTGTCAATCAGCTCAACTAGTCGTAGGTTCAGCATCATGATCACGAACAGGAAGAGGATAGCAATGGCACCGACGTATACGATTAGGTAAACTAGTCCAAGGTATGCTACACCGAGCAGTACCAGGTACCCAGCTACGTTAACGAATACAGCGATCAGGAATAGCACAGAGATCACAGGATTTTTAGCTGTGATGACCATGATTCCTGACAGCACGGCACCGATAGACAGTGCGTCTAGTAGGAATGCGTTCATTTCGTCTGGCGTGAAAGGACTATAGCCACATCGATCTACGAAGGAGTCGTGTTAGACCCATTCGCATAGATGGAAAGCTAGCCTCGTCCAATGGATGTGATCCACCAGTTGAGGCATTAGTCGTAGCCGTACTTGACATAGCAGCACGGAGGTTACCCACAATAGCAATGACTGAATCATCCTAGTGATGGATTGACAAATATAGGCCTAGCCGTAGGGTTGTTCTGTTAGTCTATGAGTCAGCTCGTATTGAGCAGGTGATACGGTCCATATGTATATCGATCCTTATAGCAGCTCGAGGTTGCCCAAGTGCTCTTCGTATCAAAATATATAAGGAAGGTAGTTTCAATGGGCTAAGCATGTGTAGGCTAGTACTACGATTGAGTACAATGGAGCCTACACGAGGCCACATATCGTCCCCAATTGGAATCGAACCAATTGTCTAAGTATTAACAGTACTTCGCTGCACCGTTTAGCTTTGGGAACCACGTATCCTACGGATAGCCCATGCTTAGGTGGTCCACTATACCACGATGCTTCAAAAGGGGGTTCAAGTGGTATATTGTTCAACAGCAGCTTCCGCTACCATTCCTATATTTCGACTTCATCTCAATCGCTGCACCGCCACTCGAACAAGCTCCAGATGTAAGACTAGTGCCAACTGTGTTGACCAGAGGAACCGTTGCCGGTCACTTTGTTCTGTTAGCCCAACATCCTTTACTCATGCTTCATAACGACATCGCTTTCAAGATGTGACGAGTAATTAGTACATCCCGAGTGGTATGTTCACCGTGCCGCACTACTGCACGATTACTCGCAATTCCTATTTCATGTAGCCGATTGCAGGCTACAATCCGTGTGGCTCCATTTGGGGAGTAGCTCAGTCTCACGACGTTGCATCCCATTGTGGAAGCCTCGGCAGCACAACGGCGGCCCTGTGCATAAGGGTCATGGGGACCTCTCTTAGCCCTACTACACAGCTATATCAGCTGCAGACTGCCAAGAAGATTGGCAGTAAGGATTTCGCATGTTAGCGGATCAAACCAAGCACCATAAGGCACATGCTGAAGAGGGTCATGTAGCACCTGTCACCGGCTGAGACACGTAAATGCCCAGCTGGGATTCAAGCACAGGTAAGGTTATGCGCGGGTCATCGCATTAAGCGTCATGCTTCACTGCGGGTCCTCGGGACCGTCTAATCATTTGGTGTTCTGCCCTGTGGCTGTACTCCCCAGGCGGAGTGCTTATCGCGTTAGCTAAGTGTCTGAGCATTTGCCCAATCACTAGCACTCATCGTTTACAGCGTAGACTACACGGGTATCTAATCCGTTTTGCTCCCTACGCTTTCGTCTCTCAGCGTCAGCACACAACTAGTCACTTGCCTTCGCCATTGGTTCTCCTCCAAGGCTCAAAGCATATCAGCGCTCCTCTTGGAATAGAAGTGACTCCTATGTGGCTCTATCTCCTCGTAACTAGAGTACGAAGAGCCGCCTACAGACCCTTTACGCCGATTCACAACGAGTAATGCTTGCCCTATCGGTCTAACCGAAACTTCTGGCACCGAAATTAGTTAGGACTGGTAGTCAAACGAATCATAATTTAGTCTGACTATACCTCGCGGACCTTCGCCCAACAAGGTTCTAGCTCTCCTGATCACGCTTGCGCGCATTGTCAAGGATCCCGTACTGCTGCGCCCCAAAGAGGAACGGTGGCTATATTTCAGAGTCCACTGGTGACTTCAGGCCTTTCAGCCAAGTCTACACGTCATTGCCTTGGTAAGCTGTTACCTTACCAACTAGCTGCTGTGGTGCAAGTGCATCTGAAGGCGAGTACGACTCTTTCTGTATCATGGATTACCATGTCCTTCAGGTAGCGCCCTGCGATACTACCCTGTACGCCATGGCTCGGCGATCGTTGATCAGAGCCATTGACTTGCATGTATGAAGAGGCTAGATAGCATTCACTCGGGGCCATGATTAAGCCCTTAGTTATAGTTAGTAGCCTACTGGAGGCTACGTATCGTATCAGCACCTCGATAAACGATAGTCGTCAGTCGAGTACGCGATGTACATGTTACTTATAGCGTGAGACAGCTCTGACCGTTGAGATGGGTACACTGTCACTTATAATATAGAGTCGAGACCGATCCTCAACGGATCCTATAAGGAAGTCCGTGTATGATCCTAGCCTTGAGGGCGTCCTGGTCACTATAAGTATCGATAGCAATGTGGAACGTATCATCAAGTGACTAAAGGGACTCTAGGGGATGCCTAGCGAATGTGCCCGAACAGGAGTGGGAACACTGAATGCTTCCTAGTCAGACATCACCAAGTGATGTCCCAAGGGGAGCGACCTGAAGGAAAACCATGATCAGAGTACGGGCCGAACCGAAACATCGTAGTAGGCCTAGGAAAGGAAATCAACCGAGACACTGTCAGTAGCGGCGAGCGAACGCAGTACAGCCAAGTTGCATAGTACAGATGATCTAAGGCTCTGGAAAGGGCCAATTGCACACCATCAGCGCTCTGGTGGCCTCAAAAGGGCCGCATCGTGATGCGAGTATGGACCGTGCAAGCCATAGAAGGTGATAGCCCTGTGGATTTGACGTCTATGTAGCGACTAGCACTGTAGGTGTATGATACTGACCCTTGTGGCAGCTTTGTACATCAGACGCAGTGTGAGTAGAGTGGGATCAAAACTGCTCGAATATGGGGGCACCATCCTCCAAGGCTAAGTATGGCACATTCAGCGATAGTGAAGAGTACCGTGAGGGAAAGGTGGAAAGCAAGTCGATGACTGGTGAGACAGAGCCTGAACCTGGAGTTCTATAAGCAGATAGAAACTTAATTGTTGATATCGTACCTTTTGCATAATGGGTCAGCAACTTAATCTGGCTGGCAAGGTGAAAGCCCTAGCGAAAGCGACTGCAGTTCCAATAAGGAATCTGTGGGTTGAGTCAGTTGGATTAGACCCGAAACGCCGTGATCTAGCCATGAGCAGGGATATAGGCCCGAACAGGTGGACGTTGCATAGTCCTCTGATGACTTGTGGTTAGGAGTGAAATGCTAATCTAACGGCGTGATAGCTGGTTCTCCGCGAAATGCATTGCAGTGCAGCGTCGTTCGTATGTTGTGGCAGGTACAGCACTGGTTGACATGCTCAGTCTGACTGAGCCGACTAGGGGGGTGTGAAAACCCTATCTAGGTCAGCTAACCTCGGAATGGCTACAACATTTGAGCGGCAGTGAGTCGTAGGGTGATAAGGTCTTACGACGAGAGGGAAACAGCCCAGAGACTGAGTTAAGGTCCCTAAGTGGCTAGCAAGTGAAAGTAAGGCAGTTCATAACCGAATACAGCTCCGATGTGGGCTTGGAAGCTGCCATCATTTAAAGAAAGCGTAACAGCTCAGGAGTCTAGGTTATGAGCGCCGAAGATCCATCGGGTCTAACTAGTCCACCAAGACCAGTCTATAGTATTAGATAAGCTGCGGCTATGTAATACTACTAGGTAGCGGAGCGTCCGGCGCTTACGAAGGGCAGTCTTTGATTGTCTGGAGGCAGCTGGAGTGAGGATGCTGGCATGAGTAGCATATGGATGTAAAATCATCCACACCGAATGGGAAAGGGTTTAGTGGGCAAGTTAAACTGCCACTAGTCAAAGCGGTGTCTAAGGGACTAGCCAACGCGAAGTCTCGATGACCATACTGCAGAACGGAGCCTATATAGGCCTTACATCGTACTGTGGAGCTGAAAGGTTCTACAGAGGTGTATAGGCTGGCTTCCAGGAAAATAATGCAGTCTTGCTACCGTACCTCAAACCGACA